AAAAATGTTGACATTATCTTGATGATGGCTTACGTAAAAATGATATAAAATGGGCAAAAATTTTAAATTCATTTTACGTAAAATTAACATAAACATGCTGCTTGGGAACTGGCAAGGTACTAAACATTCCTATGCAGGACGATTCCTGGGAGAGGGAGGACACTTTTGTGTACTGTGAGAAAAGCGAGACCTACGTCTCCATCTCGTGACAAGGAGGACAACTTTACAATTCCCAAAAACCTCGAAGTCCATGTTGTATCGGAATGTTGCCGTTACTTTGTCGATGTGAAGAATGTCAACATTCTCCCGATGTGGTGAGGAAATGTTGCAATAATAATCGAATTAGTTTCGCAGCATTCCGCCGCAGCATAAAGGAAATGTATTCTCCACCCTTACAAAAAGGGACACATGAAAAGATTTCAAGTTAGGCACACTAGAAATCATAGAGGTATTGATTTTGATAAAAATCAAGACTTTCGTCGCCATATGTCATGTATTTCAATGGGGGCGTGTTTGCCATTTAGCAAAGAATAAATGAATTAATCACTATCCAAGGTAATGGAGCGCCGAAGGCGCGACCATAGTGAGTTTGTTATTTATGTACCGACATATCAGCGCTTGAATCTGGCTGTGTTCAAAATAATGTTGCCGTTGGGAAGTGCGGAAACTATCACCTGCGATTTCTAGAGTGTGGAAAACATTCCAAAACTCATGGAATTCTTTCGGAATTTTTTTTTGCTAAAGCTTTTTCCACTGAAGAAAGGTTAGGTGTAAGTTTATGAGGATATGTACGAGAGTAAAAAAAGTAATACATGATTTAAAGTATAATATCTTTAACTCCGCCTTGCCGAGACTTTCTCTGCAACTAGAATTAATATTTACATTTTCCGGCTTACTCCCAGGAGTAGTAACATTTTTTCCTTTTCCTTGAATCTTTTCCAAGAATGCTTGAACCACATCAGTGCGAACCCGGAATGTTTACGTTACGTTGTCGAGGACGAAGGGGGGAGGAGATCGTGCGGGAGCCGTTATATTCCATTAGGAGAACGATGACGCTGTGAGGAAAATGAGCCATAGATGCCCTAGATAGAATACGGGTCAATTGGTATCCAACAGGGAATCATGAAGAAGCATCCACCTTTATCAAATTCATGTTGTCTCTGGAGGCGATGCACCCCTGATGGAGTCTGTGCAGCAGCAGATGAATCCAGCACAGCATGTGAGCAACATCGTGGAACTCGCGCGTGAAAGAATACAGACACGCCCGAGCATAAACTGTTGCATAATCCCCACCCGCCGTACTACGACTCGTCGCAAAGTGAATTGGGATGATTACTATTGACTGTCAATGCTGATGATATCAAAGGTGTATACTTCATTTTTATTGACACTCTGAGTGCAATAGCACACGTGGACGTGATTGAAAGGGAATTCATGCTTTCAAACGTGCAACATATTCTTTTGATGCATTCCAGAATTGTAACCTTGGAAGCTTGGAATTCTATGAGCTATCGAAGAACCTCTCAAGAGCATTAAATTCATTTTCACTAGTTCATTTTGCATATGAGGATCCCATGAAACTGATTTTTTCTTTTATTTCAGCGTAACTTCATTGGTCTGTGAAACTTTTTCATCCCAGTTACCCAAACATGCTGCGAAAGATGACTAAAACCACTATACTCACTTCAATACGAAACCATTCAGATAGGTACCCATATAATCATAGAAAACTGTGTACCTAGTTCTGCCATAAATACTGCACAAAAAATTTACATGTTCCTTGCATTCTAGCGAAAGAAGCTAGAAACTTGTAACCTAATATTCGTGCAGTGTATTATCTGCTGTATTGTTTGGCAACATTTTGGCTGCTGTGGTGCGTGCCGTAAACAAGGAGTGGGGTGACGAAGAGAATCGCATAGCAGTGATTGCCCTGCACACTTTTTTATCATTGAAAAGGGACATGAGGCAGAGTCGTAAGACGGCGGACGTTTCCTGTTAGAAAGTATGGGGTGCTGGCTTGGAACTCCCAACCAATATCACAGTCCCTAAAATAGGGAAGCCTCAACACCAAGGTTGCTCTAAGTTGCTGCCCGTGTAGCACACTGGAATGAGAAAAAGTAGATGAGAAGAGACTGACGACACCCACAAGGAGGGCTTAGTGGAAATACCTGTATTATTAATCAATCTGTATTATTAATACAGGGTCATTAGTAAAAGACGCTTTAGCTTTCATCACTAATATTTCCTGAACTACATTGCCAACAACCTAATAAGTGGTATCATTCGACACATCAAGTTTGGGAGTTTTGCATCGTACCATGCGGTCCTAGTGCTAATTTCGAGAAACAAGAGCAAACAAGCTAACGTACACTGAGCAGCGGGTGTTTAAGGTGAATCGGTCCTTCTAAATTGCAAAGCTACCAGTACTCCACTTTATTCAAGCAAAATAGAAGCGCGACCCTCCCATGTTGGGGAGAAATATCAGGATCTCGTAATGAGACTAGGCCAGATTGACGGAAATGTTACTTGATGCGAAGAGGAAAACAGCCACCACTTACACTTCTCCGAACTCCAAACGCAGAGCCGAGATTGTCAGTTTCCTAGCAAGGCCAAGGATGGGATTCTAGAGAAGCTTGGCCTAAACCAGCAGTCAGTCATGCGTGGGATGATTAGAGGCCTCATCAATCCAGATGTGTCAAAGCATGTTTATTTGCTTTTACAGCAGGAAAATTGTGCTTGAGGATATTGTAAGCGTGGAAGTGGTATATATATGAGTAGTCTTCTGAGTCTCCCGACAGTACCAGCACTGGATCTTCGGCAGTCTCACCGTAGAGAGAATTCTCATCGTGTTGTCTGTTCATCTTGCATCCTAAAGTCCAACTATTGTGAGATTCCACCTCCTCATCGACATGAATATTGCAATCGTGAGTTTCTGCATGTTCTCCCTTCCTATTTATGGAAGTATTTGGTGAGGACGTTGACAATTTTTCTCAACACAACGATATTCATTTGGAGTAAGCAAGCTGGAAGTAAAGAGGCAAAGTGAATTTCATTCATCAAAAGAGTTAAAGTAATTCTTTCAATATTTCTCTTTAAATTATTTTACCTTACCTTTTTTTTCCGTATTGCGACACATACTGAGTCGCCATTTGGAAAATTGTTTTTAAATTTGAATAAATTTTAAAATTACATTTAAAAAGCCTTGTCTACTTTGACATACAACTCATCGTTTGTCGCGCAATGAGATGATGTTGATGGAGAAGAAACCTTGGCAAATGCAGCAGTCGCAAGCAATGGTAGGTGTTCCTCGAGGTATGTAATGTTATTATACAAAACTGTTTTCCCCAGAGCCATTCCTTATGGCGTGTATTCCGAATACTGTTATTGGGATGAGGAAAATTGGGTTTCGGTCTAAGTGCTTCCTTTAGAAAAACTTGGTTGTGGAATGCATATGTTGAGGGCTCGCAATGCAGTAGTCGCAGCATCACCTCAAAGAAAAGGTTGAAAAAATCCATTACTTGGAGTAAGCGCAAATATACTGTACGTGTATTATAATGAAAATATATGGCACTGAACCTCTTTGATCATACAGTTCACCAACTCTTCGATCGGTAAGTCCTTTCCTAAAGGATAGATCTGTTTTTGAGGAGGTAACTGCTACTTTTGAATAAGAATGAGAGAAAAAGATCAGGGAATCCTATAATTTAGTCTCTGGCGTGGTGGGGGAGGGGGGAGGGAAGTATACACATAGAAGAATTGAATGAAGAGTTGAAGTTTTTGCCTGACACCATCTGGAACGGGCTGCCATGGAATTATGAGTGTATTGATATTTCAATTTTTCAGGCAGTATTCACACTTTTGTTCTCATCAAGCCTGTGCCAGATGCGAACCTTGCCAGCTGCGTGGCAACATGTGATGTCACCACCATCGGTGAGTTCCTTTTTCACTTCAATTTCCTTGCTAGCTTCTTTAAGAAGTCTTTTCACATCAAAGATTCGTATATTCCATTAGGAGAAAGAAGACGCCGTTAGAGAATATGGCAGCGAAGCCATAGATAGAAAGCAGGTCAATTGGTATCCAACAAAGAATTATGGAGGAAGTACACCCTTGGATGAAGATTATGATGTCTCTGGAGGCGATGAACCTCTGATGGAGTCAATGAAGCAGCAGATGAAGCTAGCACAGCAAGAGAGCAACATCCCGAAACTCAAGCGTGAAAAAAGGCAACAACGGCTTTGCATGATTTGTCGTGGTCGCCGCCGCCGCAGTCGCGCAACGATTCGTCCCACTGTGGCTTTTCCTGATTATTTTAATTATTGACAGTGAATGCTGGTGATATCAAAAGGTGGATATTTCATTTGTATCGACGCTTTCCGCAATAGCGCATGGGGACTGTATTGAAAGGGAAATCAGGCTTCTAATGCTGTAATATGCTCCTTTGATGTATTTGAGAATTGTACTCTTGCAATGCTTTTACTATATGAGCAAATAAAGAAACTCTCAATAGCGTCAAATTCCTTTTGACAAGTTCTTTTTGCCTATGAGGATCCCACGTCATCGATTCCAATTATTCATGGGTAGCTTATCTAGTCCCTGAAACGTTCATTCCTAGTTAGTCAAATATACTGCAAAATATGTCCAAACAATGAAATTATCTTCTAGATGTAACTGGTCGGACAAGTAACCCCAGGTAAGACAAGATGTTCCAGCAACGTTGATGAAATGGTGATGAACAATGTTGCATCTATGTGTAAATATTCAAAACGTCAACGTTGTCCAAATGTTGCGAAGGATCATTGCATTTACGTTCAAGTCGTCCTTTCATATTCATTACATAGTCGTTGCTAATTCATTATATATACTTTGCAGAAACTATTCAGGATTCATGCTGCTGCAATGTACATTAAAAACGTTACTTCACGGGCACCTAATCTGGGCATTACCAAAAACCATTGCTTCACTGGTGCTTAACCGGACCGATATTTCACCAATATTTAATTAATTATTTCATCATTTATTACCATATACTTTACCTCTCTACCCAGACATTCTCATCAACAGGACGAAGCCAGTACTGGCATAACCCCAACCCCTGCATAACATAGTATCATGTACAGGCTTGAGACAGTAAATTTGTGCAGGTGATGTTCCCCTGGATGTGCATAATATGGCAAAAAGCGAAAGGTCCAACCGCAAAATTCTATGGAGTGTTCCCGAAAACATTCCTTCTTTTCCACATCAAGGCCCGGATTCACGTCGCTCCCCTAAACATTAAGGGACCCTAACTTAAGAAAGTTTGGTATCCCCTAGATGTTCTGTATTCACGTTCCTCCCCTCGCTAAAGGATCCTTAAACCCAACTCTAGTAGTAGTAGATAAGGGAGCTCCCAGTTTTTCCTCAAGAAGCTAGCATGTTAAATGCATTCTATCTCCGGCAGCACCTCATTCATAAATTTTTCTTATGGCATTTCGTCACTTTTGAGAGTAGCTGATGGTGGAAATCTCCCCTAACAATCCATTCATCCTTTTATTCACTTTGTCCACTTAAAGGATGATGTCATCAAGTGAAACTTGCTTCTGCTATATAGAAGTCACGGCAAAAATTATATCATCTCCTATTCCAAATGTGAGAAAAAAATATCTGCTCTGACTATAGCTATTACCTAGAAAATTGCACTGCTCCTAGGCTGATTAGTTTTCAAGAGCTTAGTGGGATTTTATTCAAATGCTTCGTGGCGAGTCAAGGCTGTTAGTCCTATTTCAAAGAAGGAGATCAGTGCAAAAGACCGGAGCGCTTGCTAGTATTTTAGCAGAGGAGACGCCCTCGTTCTGTTTTTTTTTTGCATGCCATGCAAGTCATACAAGACCTTTAGTGCAATAAAATTCAATATTTGGCTTGCCTTTCGCTGGATATATTGAGTCGGGTGCGGGCCACGCTTCCAATTCAGCCGATCGAGTTGCAACTCGGAAAAGTGAACTCGTGGAGGCATCTGACGCGAGCAAACAAGCTAACGTATATCACTGAGCAGCGGGTGTTTAAGGTGAATCGGTCCTTCTGAATTGCAAAGCTACCAGTACTCCACTTTAATCAAGCAAAATAGAAGCGCGACCCTCCCATGTTGGGGAGAAATATCAGGATCTCGTAATGAGAATGTGTGATCAACATTCATTGTCACTTCGGAGGCACTATCGTTACTGGAGGTACAGTCGCATTATCAACATTGTCCATTGAGAAACTCGAAAAAGGCTCAAAATCCCCTTAACACACGCGTTAAATGATGTACCGGCACGCATCGTCTCATGTCCTTATGACTGCCCTATCGTCTGCGAAGGCATATTTTTGCAAGCCCAGCGCGGCAGGGGAGGGTACCATCATTCTAGGCCAGATTGACGGAAATGTTACTTGATGCGAAGAGGAAAACAGCCACCACTTACACTTCTCCGAACTCCAAACGCAGAGCCGAGATTGTCAGTTTCCTAGCAAGGCCAAGGATGGGATTCTAGAGAAGCTTGGCCTAAACCAGCAGTCAGTCATGCGTGGGATGACTGACTGCTGGTTTAGACGGACGTGGCAATAGACGTGGCAATAGACGGGATTAGGGAGGAGTAGAATCCCAGCGAAAGTACTACTTCTCTATCCAAAATGAAAGAAAGCTCCTCTCAACGTCTACTCCTCCTCCCGAGGTTCCGGTACGGGAGGAGGAAACAGTAGGTCACTTTGGCACTCAAGAGCAGTGTATCAATTCTCATGAATGCTAGGGGAAAATTAACGAAACACCTTACGTAATATTAATGTAAACATGCTGTTTGGAATGCAAACGGGAATGTAAATTTTATGTAAAATTTACGTTACTTTTACATCACCGTTTGCGTAGCACAGAGGTGACATTTCTGCAAACATGTTGACATTATCTTGACAATGGTTTGCGCAAAAATGATGAAAAACGACAAAAAATTACATTCATTTTACATAAAATTAACATAAATATGCTGTTTGGGCCCATTCCCTCCAAAGGGGATGTTAACCCCTACGATAAGCACTTTTCCGCGGGAATGTGTCATACATCCCCGAGGTATAACCAATGAATTCCTCTTTCCACTGTAGAAGAAATGGCTTCTTCGCTGGGATGAAATAGTCCCCATATTTATCGGGATCCCGACCCCTTCATCAGTCCGAACTCCATATTCGTATTGATCGGCACGTATTTCTGGTATCGATCACGACCCTGTCCGTATCGTCCGTGAAGTTCATCTCCGCCACATTTCATGGAGGCCTATCAGTGAGAAATACGCTTGAGAAACGGGATGGTTAATACGCGGCCGACATCGTATTTCCGATCCAAGGGTAAGTTCTCCTGTTCGGCTTCTGTTTTATCCCATCCAGGTGTGATCCCGCCGTTTTCACCCTCCGGAGTCACTTTTCTTGTGAGAATGCCAATACAAGGAGAGCGTTCCGATTGATAAAATGATCGGGATCACGATTAATATAGAGGCGGAGATCTCATCCCAGCGAGGACATCCTTCCTCCAAGGATGAAAGGGGACTCCAAGTATAATAAGGGGGGACGCTTTAAACATCCCGGAGAAAGGCCGTAGCAGAAATGATAACATCCCCTTAAGTAGGGAGGGGGGAGAGCGTGCGTAGCTGCCTCTCTCTACCGTTGTCATGTTATGAATGGGATCGAGAGGAAAGACATGGGATCGGTATTGTAATGGTTGCAAATGTAACCTGCCATCAGGAGGTCCTGGGTTCAATTCCCTACTCTTCCAGAGTGTTCTTTCTTCACTTAAGCCATCCAACTCTTCCCCCACCCCCACCCCCTTCCGCTATTACATTTTTCTCGAGAATAGATCCAACAGCCGCAACTGCCCGAAAGACAGTGCGAGCCCAAGACGTACACCCGAGGAAGACAAAAGGCGTTGCACATGCGCCCATGATGCGGACACAGAGTCCCAAGCAAAATTTTTCCGGAGATTATGCGATAGGGCGTCCTGGAGAATTCTTTTCAGGTCGACCTCTATTAATCCCACTTAATGTTCATGATGTGCTCGGTGCCGGAAATGGAATCAATCTGTTAGTCGTCATCATTTCAACCAGACGACGCTTCATTGTTATTGTTTGCATGGTAATATAGGCATTGTTATTGCCTAGGAAATACTTCTCTCCCCACCGAGTGCGTTGGAAGGTGCGAAAGGAATGGCAAACATCCCACATAATGTTAGATGTGACTGGCACTGCAGAGTATGGTACACACCAGGTGGTCAATGTAAACAGGAAAATGACACCATCATCAATGTTGTCCAGATAAACTCGAAATGCCTTGCAGGCTGAAATACCACTTAACACACCCATTAAACGACGTACTGCTACGCATCGTCTCATGTCCTTATGACTGCCCTATGGCCAGCGAAGACATGGGCTGGTAAGCCCAGTGCATAAGGCTAGGGTACCATCATTCTAGGCGAGATTGACCGAAATGTCACTTGATCCGTAGAGGAAAACAACCACAACTTAAACTTCTCAGAAATCCCAACAAAGACCCAGGATTGCCATTGATTCCTAGTAAGGCCAAGGACTGGATTCAAGAGAACCTTGGCCTAAGCTTGGAGTCAGTGATCCGTGGGATTATTAGAAGCCTCATGAATCCAGATGTGTCAATGTATGTTTATTTCCTTTTGCAGGAGGAAAATTGTGCTTGAGGATATCGTACGCCTGCACATCGTTTATATATGAGTAGTCTACTGGGTCTCCCGACAGTTCCAGCACTGGATCTTCGTCAGTCCCTCCATAGAGAGAGTTCTAATCGTGCTGTCAGTCCATCCGGCATCCTGAAGCCCATATATTTTGTGATTCCCTCCCCTCATCGACATGAAAATTGTCATCGTGAGTTTCTGCTTGATGTGCCTTCCTATTTATGACAGCGTTTGGTCAGGATGTTGAAAATATTCCTTAAAGCAACGATATTCATTTGGAGCAAGTGGAATCAAACAGGCTTCGGCATGTCTTTCATTTTTCATAAGAGTTAAAGAAATTGTTTCCATGTTTCTTTTACCTTCCATTTTACCTTTCCGTTTCTTTCCTGATTGGTCACATACCGAGTCGCAATTAGGAAAAATTACTTTTAATTGTTAAACACTTTTTAAATGATGCTTGAAAATCCGTGTATATTTCAACATCTAATTCATCGTTTGTCGCGCAAAGAGATGAATTTGATGGGGAAGAAGTCGTGGCACCTGCATCAGTCGCAAACGATGATAGGTTTTCCTCGAGGTAGGCGATGATATTATACATAACCATTTTCCACTGATCCATTTTTTAAGGCGAGTATTCCAAATGCTGTTCGTGGGATAGGGAAAATTAGGTTTCGGTCAAGGTGTTTCCTTTAGAAAAACAGTTGTGGAATGCATATGTTGAGGGTTCTGAATGAAGTAGCCGCAGCATCACAACAAAGATGAGGTTGAAAAAATCAATTCCTTGGAGTAAGCGCCAATTTACATACATTATAATCGGAATATATGGCACTGAACCCCTTTGATCATATAGTTCACCAACTCTTCGATCGATCAGTCCTTTCCTAGAAGATGGCTTTGTTTTCGAGGTGGTAACCGCTGCTTTTGAAGAAAAATAATAAAAAAAGATCATTGAATCAAATAATTTAGTAAATGGCGAGTTGGGGGAGGCGGGAGGGAAGTATACACGTAGAAGAATTGAATGAGGAATTCAAGCTTCATGCCTGACACCATCTGGAACAGGATGTAATGGATTTATAAGTGCATTTATATGCTATTACAAGTTAAAGATTGCTATAAAAAAATATTTCCACTTGATCTTTCAATATTACAGGCGGTTTTCACAATATCGATCACAACAAGCCTGTGCCAGGCGCGAACGGTGCCAGCTGCGTGGCAACATGAGATGTCATCCACAACGGTGAGTTCTGTTTTCAATGTAATTCCCTTTAATCTAGGAAGTCTTTCCCGCATCGAATATCCGTTTATCCTATTAGGAGAAAGATGACACTGTAGGAGAATATTCCATCGATGCCATAGACAGAGAGCGGGTCAATTGGTATCCAACAGTGAAT